TCGTCCACGACACCATCCCCAGTGAGTGGTTTCCAGCGCACCACTTATACCGACACGTTCGAACACAACGCACCTGCACCAGTCCCACTACCAGCCGCAACCCCGTACGCCACACTGCAGTCCGCACAGGTGGTCCCTTATTTTGCAGACACTCGACCCGTCATGCGTAAATCCGACATATGGCGCATGCCCGACCGACGACCGCTTTGCTACCACTGCGGTGAAGCGGGTCACCTCTACCGAGACTGCCAGTACCGCCGACTTGGGCTGCAGGGTTTTCCTGCCAATTCACCCCGCCCCCGGTTTGGACAGAGACCACCAGAAATTGAAGATTTTATCGCTCGGCAGAACGTCCCACTCAGGCGTCAGTCGCGCTCACCGTCACCGCGGTCGTCATCTTATTCAGGCAACGGAAATCGAAGGCCGCAAGGACGGTCTCCGAGCCCTCGCCTGGAAAACTAACGCCAGCGACCTTTCGAGGCGAGGCTGCTGATTCTCGACGTGATGAAGACCTCGCCCTCCAATCGACGCGACATCGGACCAACGGAAATTCGACTACGCCGGCGCCTGTATCCCAGCTGAGCGACTTTTCAATGGACATACCTGTGCTGCTCGACGGTCGCAATTTAACTGCCTTAATAGACACTGGTGCTGACTACTCGATTATTAGCGGACAATTGGCACGTACCTTGAAGAAAGTGATAATGCCTTGGACAGGATCGCATGTACGTACAGCTGGCGGACATGTAACGCCGGTTGGTTTGTGCACGTCCAGGCTACAAATACGAGGCTGCACGTTTTTGGTCAGCTCCATCGTGCTACGTGACTGCTCCCGCGAATTAATTCTCGGCCTCGATTTTCTTCGGGAATATGGCGCCGTAATCGACCTACGGCGACGCTGCATTTCCTTTTCGACAGTCAACGCTACGTCAAGGGACTCCAACCGCCGTACAACCGCCCTCCGTGTTTCCGACGACAGTGTCACAATACCACCTCGTGCAAGTATCCTAATTCAGGTGACTTCCGAAGGAACCAGTGACGGTGAAACAGTGGCAGAGTGCAACGTCTCCCTGCTGCTGGCGCTTGGAATTTCTGTGGCACGAGGCATCATTGACATTCGGAACGGTACAGCCGAGGTCATGATTACAAATTTCACCAATGAGCATCGTCACCTTTTCCGGGGCACTGCGGTCGCCTACGCTGAAGCCTTGGAGGACGTCATTGAGTGTTTTGCCTGTGAAGACAGTAGCCGCAATGGACAAACCGTAATAGATGTTGACATGAACAGTGCACTGCCAGAAGAGAACCAGAGGGCCTTGCGAGAGCTATTGTTTGAATTCAGGGCGTGCTTTGCTCAGTCGTCTAAAGTGAGTCAGACGCCAATTACACAGCACAGGATAATCACTTACGACGACGCAAGACCTATTCACCAACAGCCATACCGCGTCTCGCAGACAGAACGCGCAGCTATCAAGCAGCAAGTGAAAGAAATGATCGACGACGGCGTTATCCAGCCTTCGAACAGTCCCTGGTCCTCACCGGTCGTTCTGGTTAAGAAGAAGGACGGTACGCTTCGCTTCTGTGTAGATTACAGAAAGCTCAACAACGTCACAAAAAAAGATGTTTATCCGCTGCCGCGTATTGATGACTCGCTTGACCGACTACGACGAGCGAAGTATTTTTCTTCCCTGGATTTAAAGAGTGGCTACTGGCAAATTGAGGTTGATGAGCGCGACCGCGAAAAAACCGCCTTTGTCACGCCGGATGGCCTCTACGAATTTCGGGTGCTACCGTTCGGACTCTGCTCTGCGCCAGCTACCTTCCAACGCATGATGGACACTGTGTTGACTGACTTAAAATGGCAAAGCTGCCTTGTGTACTTGGATGATGTGGTCGTGTTTTCAACCAGCTTCTCCGAACATCTGAAGCGACTACGACAAGTACTTGAGGCGATTCGGACGGCTAACCTTACGTTAAAGCCGCAAAAATGCCATTTCGGTTACGAAGAACTAAAGTTCCTTGGACATGTCGTAAGCGCAGAAGGCGTCCGTCCTGACCCTGAGAAAACCGCCGCTGTCGCAGCCTTCCCGACTCCTGCCGATAAGAAAAGTGTGCGGCGGTTTCTTGGTCTATGCGCGTACTACCGGCGCTTTATAGGCAATTTTTCGAAAATTGCCGAACCATTAACTAGACTCACTAGAGACGATACGCCGTTCGTTTGGAGTACTGAACAAGAATCAGCATTCACAGAGCTTCGGCTTCGCCTGGCATCACCACCTGTTCTTGGACATTTCGACGAGGAAGCCGAAACAGAAATTCATACCGACGCCAGTAACGTCGGTCTGGGCGCGGTACTCGTCCAACGGCAGGAGGGAATTGAAAAGGTTATCGCCTACGCAAGCCGAACCCTAACACGCCCGGAGTCAAACTACAGTACCACGGAGAAGGAGTGCCTTGCTGTCGTGTGGGCAATTGCTAAGTTTCGACCTTACCTTTACGGCCGTCCATTCAGAGTAGTGACGGATCATCACTCGCTGTGCTGGCTTGCGAACCTCAGAGACCCCTCCGGACGACTGGCAAGGTGGAGCCTACGTCTGCAGGAGTACGACGTCACTATCGTGTACAAGTCCGGTCGTGCACACGAAGATGCGGACACGTTGTCACGCGCGCCAGTTGAGCCTGCCGCTCAGAGCTTCGAAGAGGACTGCCCTTTCCTTGGCTCCGTAAGCGTAACAGACTTGGCTTTACGGCAGCGAGCAGATGCTCAATTGCGACCTATCATTGAACATCTAGAGGGCCGCAACGTATCACTGCCCCAGCATATAACTCGCGGATTGTCATCCTTCTGCTTACGACAGGGCGTGTTGTACAAGAAGAACGCAGCCGCCAGCAACAAAACTTACCTGTTGGTCGTCCCCGCAGAGCTGCGTGAGGAAATTCTATTTGCCTGCCACAACGAGCCTCCATCGGGCCATCTGGGCATCACCCGAACCATCGCTAGGGTACGAAAGTCTTACTACTGGCCGAAACTTGCCGCTTGCGTTAAACAGTACGTTCAAGCCTGCCGCGAATGCCAGCGCCGAAAATCCCCATCTGTTAAGCCTGCGGGATTACTTCACCCTATCGAGCCACCCAGAACACCCTTCGATCAAGTCGGCATGGACCTCCTGGGTCCGTTTCCCTTGTCATCTTCCGGCAACAAGTGGATAATCGTCGCTACAGATTATCTAACCCGCTATGCTGAAACTAAGGCGCTTCCTAAAAGCACGGCTTGTGAAGTTGCTCAGTTTTTCATCGAGAGAATTGTATTACGCCACGGTGCTCCATCCTGTGTCATCACAGACCGAGGAACAGCGTTTACAGCAAGGCTCCTTGAACAAGTTTTTCAGTTAAGTACTCCACGCATCGCAAGACAACAGCGTATCACCCTCAGACAAATGGACTGACCGAGCGGCTTAACAAAACGATGACTGATATGCTGTCTATGTACATAGACGTACAGCACAAGACGTGGGATGAAATACTGCCTTACGTAACATTCGCGTATAATACCGCTACGCAAGAGACCACACGATTCACTCCGTTTCGTCTTCTATACGGTCGGGACGTTCAGACGATGTTGGACGCAATGCTCCCATGCGACATTGACAACATCGAGAATCTCGACGAAGATGCTGAGTGTTTCGTGCAACGAGCCGAGGAAGCACGTCAACTAGCCCGCGTAAACATCAAGAAACAACAAGGCGTCGATGCACAGCGCTACAACCGCTGCCACAGACAAGTCGATTATAAACCAGGTGACCAGGTGTTGGTTTGGACCCCTGTGCGCTGCAAAGGTCTCTCTGAGAAGCTTCTCAGTCGGTATTTTGGCCCGTACAAAGTGCTACGACAAGTGAGCGACGTCAATTACGAAGTCCTTCCGGACGGAAGCCAACCACCCCGACGCCGACAGCTACGACCCGAGATTGTGCACGTGGTGCGGTTAAAACCGTACCACACACTGTGACAATGTTTTTTTTTACGATACACGCTTCGTTTAGCATCGAGGCGATGCTCTTCAGGGAGGAGGGGCAGTGCCGCGCGCTTGATCTGCCAGCGCAAAAGAGGCAGACGAAGTGGCAGTTCCCCTCGTGCCATTGTTCTGTTTTTGGCTGCGCTGAGCCGACCGCTCTTCGGACTTTTGTGAGGACGCCTTAAAAACGTCTCCTGTCTCTTTAACGTGACAATATTCATCACAGCACATAATAAGGTCCAGTGATATGTACGCTCTGTCTAAACGTGCGTGGCTTAGACCCTGAAAGTGCGTAAACTGAACCTTGCAATTAGACATACATAAACCAACATCTTCCAGGCAATTTTCTGCAATCATCTCATTTAAGAACACTGCGCTTTTATCAAATGACTGGGCCGGCTTGGCACGGTCCTCCTTTCTACAAACACAGTTAAGATCACCAAAAAGGACTACATATTTGTCACATTCCAGTAAGTTACTTATTTCTTCAAAGAAAACTTTCCTTTCACTGTCTCGATTCGGAGCATAAACGCATATGACACGCCTATCGAAATTCAAGAAAGAAAAATCACACACTACGAAGCGTCCTTTATCGCTGCTTGCTACACTTCTTTCCACAACGCCTATCGATCGTCGTATGAAGAGCGCACACCCTCCTGATAAGCCATCAGCATGGGATACACAAATGTCATACATTGAGCGAAAAGGCAACGTCATATGATTGGTATCTTTCTCTGCCGCTATCTTAGTTTCCTGCACAGCAATCACATCCAAGTCATGCTCCGAAAACAGCCTACTCAACTGGTACTGCCGCCTTCTTGAAGATAATCCGCGTACATTTAAGCTGGCAAAACGCATTGCTCTGTTAAGCTTCAGGCTCATTTTTTTTTTTTAAACAAGTAGCTGCTCACCATACCGTCTTAGCCGAACTCCGCCTATTTAGTCGTCCGGTGCACCTTCTTGGTAGAAGGCGACACATAATGTGTTGTCAAGAGGCCGGTTTTCCCGTCCTCTTTTCCCCTTCTGTTATATTATGTTTGACCGCCAGTCGTTGCCTCCGAAGGAGAGCTGCTTTCGGTGGCGGTTCTTGATTGCTCATGTCACTTGATTCTGTTGAGGTTGTGTCTCGTGGTCGTTTCCCGTACCTGGTTCCTCCCGTACCTGGTTCCTCGGCGTCGTGCCACTCCATGGCACCACCCTCGGCAGGTTCCTGGACAGTTTGAGTAGATGTTTCACTCTCGTCTGTAGCAGCGGTTGCGTCGTTTAAAACATCAGTCTCTTTTGCGCTCGTCAGTGATTCTGCGGCCGCTTGCAAACACGCTGGTTCACTTGTTTGTCCTGCTTCTTTCACATCCATCACGCCTCCTGTACTGAATGTTTTTTCCGCAGAAGTCACCTGTGATTTCGTCAATGCATCCGCGATAGGTTGCACTCCCCCACTGTCAGTTGACCTTGGCGGTTTTTTCTGCAATCGCGTCATGCCTGCTGCACTAGGTGTTTTTCCTTCACAAGCCGCTTTCGATTTCACCGATTCTTCTGCTTCGGTCTCTTCCATAGTGAGCTCGGATTTATCCATGCTCCCGGTGTTCAGTGCAGCAGCTGCATACGTCTTCGTGCAGTTCCCAAGGGCGTGTCCAAACCGCTTGCAAGTGTCACACCGCGGGACTCGACAGTCCCTCCTAATGTGGCCAATCTGCTGGCAGCGCAAACACCGCGGCGCTCTTCCGGTTGCCACAATAAGTGCGAGCTCTCCTCCAACTCGTAACTGGTGAGGTATATCGTCCAGCGTAACGTTAGCCTTTAGCCGTAGCGTCACGGTTCTCGTCATGGTATTCTGCTGGGTGTAGCCGTCAATTCGCCACTTATCCATTCCTACGTCAAGCACCGTCCCGTATGGGGTCAGTGCATTTCGTACGTCCTCTTCTCGTACGTGGTAGAGCAACCAATGCAGCTTCAGACGGACGTCGCGGTGGCTTGGGTCGATTATCATGCATTTGAGGCCTTTCACAGTCAATTGCGGATCAGCTAAAAGTTTCTTTACACCTTCAGTGCTTCGGCACGTCACTGCCCACACGTGGTTCATTTGATAAGCGCCGAGTGCAAGAACCTCGGTGGGCTGAACACGTCGAAAAAGTGGCTCGCGAAAGTCTTCCACGTGATAAGGTCTTCCTTTTACATCCGCATGCAGAAAAACAGTGTTTTGAACCACATACCCAGTCGGCAGAGGGGGCAAAATAACAGCATTGTCCTGGGGCATTTCAATCCTGGAGCCGCGGCTGAGGTGAGCCGCCGATGCCGCTCCAACGAAGCTCATGATACACACGTCCGCACGCTTTCGCACCCGGAAGTGGAATCAACTGAGCTATTTCGGCAGACGGGAGAAGAGTGAAAGAGGGACTTACCAGTTGTTGCGTTTCGGTAAAACCGCTTTATTTTAGCTGTTGCACATTATTGCATGTCTTTACGCTGTTCCGGTTTTTTCGCAATGCCTACTGCCGCGATGCATTCTGAATCAGCATTTTTTTATCAAGCATGTGTGTTCACCTGCGTAACCGTTTCACTCGTTAGAATTATTGCAAAATACTTGTATACCGACAGATTTAACAAAAAAAAGTGCTTTGGACGCCGAAACCCGGGATCGAGCCAAGGACCTTTGGATCTTCAGTCTAACGCTCTCCCAACTGAGCTATTTCGGCAGACGGGAGAAGAGTGAAAGCGGGATTCAACAGTTCTTGCGTTTCGGTAAAACCGCTTTATTTTAGCTGTTGCACATTATTACAAGTCTTTCACGCTGTTCCGGTTCTTTTGCAACGCCTACTGCCGCGAGGAATTCTGAATCAGCATTTTTTTTATCAAGCATGTGTGTTCACCTGCGTAACCGTTTCACTCGTTAGAATTATTGCAAAACACTTGCATACCGACAGATTTAACAAAAAAGTGCTTTGGACGCCGAAACCCGGGATCGAACCAGGGACCTTTAGATCTTCAGTCTAACGCTCTCCCAACTAAGCTATTTCGGCAGACGGGAGAAGAGTGAAAGCGGGATTCAACAGTTCTTGCGTTTCAGTAAAACCGCTTTATTACAGCTGTTGCACATTATTACATGTCTTTCACGCTGTTCCGGTTCTTTCGCAACGCCTGCACTGTAAGCAAAAGTTAGCCGAGATGAGAGTTTCTCCAGCACATGAGCCCACAAAACTCCCCTGCCCCAAATATTTACTCCCTGATAGGGAGTGAACTCGGCACATGTCATCGTAAGACGGCCCCTGCTTAATCACAGAGTTTATGAACGACATGACCTTGTTAAACTCCCCAGGGAGTTTCAGGTCACGTGGTTACAAACTCCCTATAGGAGCTTTAAAAACCCTCTTTGGGTGTGACGTGTGTGTGTGTGTGTGTGTGTGTGTGTGTGTGTGTGTGTGTGTGTGTGTGTGTGTGTGTGTGTGTGTGTGTGTGTGTGTGTGTGTGTGTGTGTGTGTGTGTGTGTGTGTGCGCGTGCGTGCGTGCGTGCGTGTGTGTGTGTGTGTGTGTGTGTGTGTGTGTGTGTGTGTGTGTGTGTGTGTGTGTGTGTGTGTGTGTGTGTGTGTGTGTGTGTGTGTGTGTGTGTGTGTGTGTGTGTGTGTGTGTGTGTGTGTGTGGTGTGTGTGTGTGTGTGTGTGTGTGTGTGTGTGTGTGTGTGTGTGTGTGTGTGTGTGTGTGTGTGTGTGTGTGTGTGTGTGTGTGTGTGTTTATAGAGGCATACTCTACCGGGAAAAGCTACTATGCTCTCTAGGTATTTTCCGTGGCGTCAGGGAACTCGGCTGTCTTCAGCGTTTTCGGGGAGTTGTGTAATTACTCTGAGTGCATTCGTAAAGTGGACCTGTTTGACCCTGCTGGGTTCCTTCTTGCTGTAGTTGATAGAATACAACTTCTGAAAATAGCAGCTGTAGTCACGACAATGGCCCATCGTTTGTCCAACAATGCTAAAAGAAATGTTCACGCGCCAAAAGACCAGCGGCTAAATTGATGAAGTAGGGCACGTGTACTCAGGTACACGTTTTAGCCCCAGAACTACTGTCAGTACACCTACTGCAAGTTACGTTTGGCAAAACACTATTTGCGACGCCTGCTGGTGCACCTAAACTTATGGTTACATTGCTTACGCTTTCTCTTAAGTGTTTTTTTTAGTTGAGGCTGTAGAGAAAAACCAAGGTCGTGGTCAGACTTTCCTATCTTTCGTCCCTGCTTCTGCTTTTTGTAAAACAGTAGCAAATTGAAATTGCTGTATTAGGAATTTCGGTAGGAATTTCCTGAACTTAAATCTGCTCCTTCTCGCTGCGCTTCATACATGACAGACGTGTTTTCGTACAAGAAATTACGCCTTGCCGAGAAAAGGCCGAGAAGTGACGTCTGAATACAGCGCAACCATTCGCGGTAACTGCTCGCCATCGCCGCCGCCGATCACAACATGCGCGCTCACGTCGTGGGAGCAATATCGGACTGCACCGCCACTAGTTCTCGCGTTAGCCACCTGGCCCACCTCTTGGCGGAGCTTTGAAAACTGACTTTATTCTAATAACGTGGTCTGAGATAGCGGATTAGAACGTTTGTGCTTTGCTATATTACAGAAAATTTTCAAAACATGAACAGGAAAAGACGTGGGTGGTAGCTGAGCTTCAGTACGGGTGTCTAGTTTTTACGCCTAAGTTGAATGTTGTGATTACCGGGTACCCTGCGCTGTGTATCAGCTGTTGCAGTGTCTAGCACTTTTCAGCAGTAGCAGTAGAATGAATGGAGTTTTTAACAGCTAACAAACCACATCTTTGATGCTGGTTTCATTATGAGTATAGCGTAAGGGTGCCCCGGTTTACTTGTGACCAACTGTCTAAATACTTTTGCAACAGCTCTGAGTTTTAGTCACTTTAAAAAAAAATAGGGACATTCTTTTTTTTGCAAGTTGAAAATACACAGATTGCAGTTCGCGACAATTCTTCCAGCTTTGTTAGACACAAGCGTCAAAAGTTCACTCATTTGCCTGAGCTGAGACACCTGCGATTTAGATGGTACTTGAAAAATCGGTCATATGAGAGGCTGTTGCTGAAAGATAACTCTTACCTAATCACAAGTTCCTCATTACTGTGTTATCGCAAGTATATATGCTTGAATCCTAAAAGCATTATTCCTTTAGTGTTGGCTTAATGCTCCTGCCTTTTTGAAATCTATACACGTGGTTTTCCTCAGACTTCGTTTCTCAATGAATAAATTTGGAAGCATCAATATCACTTACAATCTGGTCACTAGGACGATTACTTCTTGTACAAGATTGCCATATGAAAGTTTGTTTGAAGAAACCGTGGAGCTGGAATAAACATATCCACCCAATTTGAAGCGTTGAGGCGTGGCTGAAAGAGTCGTAGGATGAAGGCGCTTCATTCTTGTTAGAAATTCGCTTCTAAGCGCGCAAACAGTGAAACACAGCCGCAGATAATTTTATATCATTTAGTAAAAAATAGGATCTTTCACAACTCACTTGAATAAAATCCCGTCCGTTTTGTTGCGCTTTTTGTGAAATCAATTCGACTTAAACACTGCAATACTGCGCGAAAGTTACTTGTACCCGAAGCATGTGCATTTGTTCAAGTGACCTTCATGCTCTGTCCACTCAGTTTATACTGCCTATGGAATTTCTGTTCTGTAGTGACATACTGCATTTTTGAGGATGCTAATTATGCAACCAGACGATGTGCCGGTTGTAGCACAAAGTAAATAGTATTTACTCGTTCCAAATTAGAACTTGGTGTTTCAATTGCGGCACTCTGGTTCCTCGGATTAGCTATGGTCTTCCAGCTGCCAATAAAGTCTAAGCAGCCAACGTAAATAATTGATTGATATGTGGGGTTTAACGAGCGTAAATAATTCCAGCTTCTCTAAAACTGAGCATTCCCGTGACTCATTATGATAAATAAAAAACAGTCTTTTTAGTGTCTCTCCGTAGTTGTGATGAAGTGCTACCACGCTCACATTTTATAGGCAAGGACAAAGTGGTAGTTGTGAAAGTACAAACGATGTCGCAAAACGAGAACATAGCGCTCCGTAGTTTCTGTATCTGATTTTAACGTAATTCTTTCAATTTCATCATGAGCCCAATCAGAATATAGTTTCGATTTTATGTGCACAGACCATCCTTTGGTCATATACATAAGCGATGGATTATACCAATTGTCGCTTATTCCATCATTTACTTTAAGTGCGAAGCAGCTTAGGGTATCGGCTTGTCGGCGTGTCATATCATTGTCAGGGTATATCGCAAGTGGTTATGTGCCGCGAAAATGGGCATATCCAACTACTATACATGTTATAAGTTGAAGATTTGTCTTTGCTGCGTAAAATACTTTTTCTCTTACAGACACTGTCAGAATAACCGACAAAATTGGCCAAGAAACTGAAGCTTCTTATATAAAACTAAAGATGCAAATGTGCATCTTTACTTTAAAGCCGTCTGTTTGAAGCACTACTTGAAACATACCATCAAAGCGATGATGCGCCAGTTAACGGGTGGCGAGTAAAGCATTCCGAGTGAAGGTTTTACAAACTTTATTTGTATTTAGGATTTACATCGCCAATACAAATAAAGTTTGTAAAATCTTCATTTGGAAATGATTTTATTGAAGTAGGGATGAACTTCCGCATCTCGTTCGTCTTCTGCCGAACACAGGTGCAGGACCAGATGTTTATTTGTATTTAAGATTTACATCGCCAATACAAATAAAGTTTGTAAAATCTTCATTCGGAAATGATTTTATTGAAGTAAGTAGGGATGAACTTGCGCACGTCGTTCGTCTTCTGCCAAACACAGGTGCTGGACCAGATGGTGTCACTTCAGGAATCTTAAAAATAATATTCGATATTTCTCCTAAAGACCTTTTTAATGGTGCCAACCACTCACTTCTAAAATAAATGGGTACCTCCTCACTGGAGACTTGTAAAAATAATACCACTTCTTAAAAACAGATCTAGGAATGTAGATAGACAAGAATAGGCCAATGGCTTTAACATCACATGTAGTTAAGTTGATAGAAAGAATACTTTACACTAAAACTGTGA